TGACAGTAACATTTCTCTCTCTCTCTCTCTCTCTCTCTCTCTCTCTCTCTCTCTCTCTCTCTCAATTTTCCTCTCTCTCATAAATCGAGGCCTCGTGTGACAGCAAGTATTGTTACGGGAATTTTTCTTCACTACTCAATTGCCGAGTTAAAGTATAAAATTTCAGCCCACAACCCGACAAGTGGTGGCGTCTCAGTTTGACTTAAAAAAAAATTCGAGATGGACGTGAAACAATATAAATAACAATCAGAAACTACTTTTTTTTTCTTTTTAGAAAATCAATGCTACATATTAAGTTTTTTTCTTAAAAAATGATAATGAATTAAAGTATTTAAAGAATTAAAATGTTTATCGAGTTACAAATTCGAAACGTTTCGAACAGCGCTGCATTATTTTTTTCTGAACATGTAATATTTTGAACCAGTGTGTGACTTATGACAAACACAATTAATGCGATGTCCCTGAAAAGTCCTTTAAAGCAATGGGATTTTTCTGTATTGTAATATATTTTTGCTGAAATTAACTAAATGAATATTTTCAGACAATGGATATAATTGGACTTTCTCTTGTCCTGAAAAGACTAGAGGAGGTAAAGAACTCCTTTGGAGATTACAACAAAAGATTACAGTGGTTGCAGCTGTTGAATACTTACAGACCAGTTGTAGAAAGATTGTTGGGTTTTTTTTCATCCCTGGATGGAATACATGATGAAAAATGTAGAGCGAGTATACAAGAATCAAGGTTGTACATTTATCCTTATTTTATTTCTTGATGTGGTGTTTTTTTATCTTAATTTTTAGGTCACCTGAGTAAACTCAGGTGACCTATTGCTATCTGTTTTCGTCCGTCGTCGTGCGTCGTGCGTTGTGCGTTAACATTTGAACATTTTCAGCTTCTTCTCTGCAACCACTGAACCAATTTCAACCAAATTTGGCACAGAGCATCTATGGGTGAAGGGGAACAAAAATTGTGAATTTCATGATCCCTGCCCCCCTGGGGCCTGAGGGGTGGGGCCAAAACCACTAAAATTAACGCAATCTTTAAAAATCTTCTTCTTTACTCCTGGACATCAAGCAGTCAAACTGTTTGCATGATTGTAACCAGCAATGAGTCCTCTACCAAAATTGTGAAATTCATGGCTTGGGGTCAGGGGTTCTAGTGCTAGGGTGGGGCTAAATAAGTAGGTAGTGAAAATGCATTATTTCTTTGAAAATCTTCTTCTCTTCTCCTGGGTATTAAATAAACCAACTAAGTATATAGTTATGATGAGCAAGAGTGCCTCTACCAAAATTGTGAATTTTATGGCCCCAGGGTCAGGGGTTCTTGTTTCAGGGTGGGGCTCTAATGATTATATAGTGAAATGCATGATTTCTTTGAACATCTAATCCTTTGCTCCTGGTTAATATGCTAATGATCTAATTACATATCTAAGGCCAGGATTTATTTTATTTTCAGTTTTACAAACCCTCCGCTCAAGGTTTTGAATTTTCAGAAAAAAATAAAAACAATTTTTTCTTTCCAAATTCAAATTTGATTCGGGATCGAGATTTAAATTTACGAACTCGCACTTCCGGTTTTACGTTGAAACGGCGGGTAAATAAAGCTAGATCTGAGAAGATAGCTTGGTTTAGTGTAAAATTCATCGATAAGAGTGCCATTCAAAACGTTTCATCCGTTCAAAGGACAAATAAAATGCTGACGACTTTGTTGCACAATGACATGCTGGTGAGATAATTATGTATTCGTTTCAAAAGTAACTGTCTGTAAGGATTATTTTCCTCCCCCAGGTTTTAAACTGCCCGTGGTAGCTATTGCATATTGCCAGCGACATTGTTTAGGTCTCTGTTATAGCTTACAGTCTAAGCATCATTCTTCAGAAAAGGGTTGCTTATGCATCAGATGTAATGAATAAAACTATGGGAGAAGTTAAGTCCATTCGAGGAAGAAATAAACAATAACCTTCTCCCCAATACTCCCTGTCTGTTTTATGATAAGAATTATAATTTTAGGGATCAAGTAAATTTTAGAACAATGTCTACACATTCACCTAACACATATTAAAAAATGAAGATATATTGAAAGACTTTTAAAGAATTGATTTTTTAAAATATGTTTTGATCAACATCACAAAAATGAAATTTATATATCTGGCCCAAACTAGCAGATGATGAAATCAGCAATTAAATGTTCTACTTTCCTATTTGTAAGCATTATGTGTCCAGTGGTAAGGAGCCTATTAGGATAGCATAAAAAAAGAATGTACAAATGTTAATGTTAGTACTTTTTTATTCTCATTTTCATAACTAAACCTAAACATAAAAAAATGCTGGCCTTATAATGAAGAAAGGGGCCTCTTTCAAAATAGATAATTTCAGGGCCGCTGGGTCAGGGGTACCAGGGGGGTACTTTGACTAAAAATAAATTAATGCTTTGAAATCTGCCCTTTGATAAACAATGGTGCCTCTTTCAAAATTTGTGAATTTCATGGCTTTTGGATTAAAACACGAACCAAATACAATCGCTGGAAAGTTGTTACATGATACTCAGGTGACCTATAAGGCCCGTGGGCCTCTTGTTTATATAACGGTGATTTTGTATGCTTTCTTTCCAGACATCGTTGGACAAGAATAATAGTGATGAAATTGCTTCTGGGAGAATGTGTACTCTGGACAGGATTGCGATGTGAAACTTTGCCTAAGCTTATTTATGGTATTTAAGAAATTTCAATCATTAGTTGCCTTATGAGTTTATATATTTATCCCTTACCCTCCATAACAAAAAAGTAGTATAATTTACTCTACTTTAATATAGTTTACAATTGTTAACTTAAGTTGACTTTAGTTATAGTTAACTTTAGTCAACTGCAGTTAATCAAAGTTTTCATTTTAGTGATTAAAAGTTTTTTTTTTATAAACTTTTATTATTTCCAGATTGATAATTTTTAAAACTTCCTACAAGTAATATTCTGATTATTAAAATGAATTATTTATTGTATGATTACATTTTTTATAATTTAAATAATTGATATGTAAATCCCAATATATTAAGACTTTAAATCTTTTAAAAAGCTCTAGAGTTCAAAGTATTCACTATAGTAACTTGTAAATTATATTTAACTTTGATAAATTATTGATAGGACTGTTTCAAATCTGTTTATTTGCAATGGTATGATTACTAAATGTTCCTGGATGCTCTTCTGGTACATATTAAGAACATTCATAGGTAAAAGTTCTACGTGAAGGTGGTTTTTTTTTTTTAAATTATAACAGTAGTCTTCTTCCTTATTTTTCAAGCTGTTGAAAAAGGAGGCTGATCTAAAAAATATCAAGTCATTCGAAACTGTGGAAAACTTTCTAAGAAGTTCTATAAAAGGAGCAGCAACTGCAGCATTTGGGTATAATTTATTATTTAGAGAAAAAAATATAGATATTAAGGTAATCCGATCCTCAGGTGTGTAAAATTAGCATTTTAGTCATCAAAAATACTCATAAAAGTATCTCTGAATCCACAAAGTTATGTAAATTTATCCACATTATTTCTTTAAATTTAATGATTAAAGTTAATCATATTATATATATATATATATATATATATATATATATATATATATATATATATATATATATATATATATATATATATGTGTGTGTGTGTGTGTGTGTGTGTGTGTGTGTGTGTGTGTGTGTGTGAGTGTGTGTGTGTGTGTGTGTCAAATCTCCAATATTTTTGCAGAAAAAGCAAATTAGAACATCAGCAATGCATTTTCTTATTGCAAATTGATCAACAAATATATTTTAGCTTAAAAAGTGATAGGTGTCCAGGCATTCAGAGAAAATGTCATGATTTTTATACGTATTTGGTATTTTTCTGTCTTCTATTTCCTTCATATATTTTATAATACATAGTGTAAAAGGCATTTGCTATCATTGCAAGACATCACAAATCACTTCTCATATCATGCTAATAAGTATTGATACTTACGGCTGGATTCAAAAAAATCTCAGTTCTCTAAAACTGTATTAATGTTTTCTCCTTTTATAGGGTACAAATGTCAACTTTTATAGGAACTTTTCTAAAACTTCCAAGGACCTCAAATCTTATTAAGATAGATAAAATGAAAATTGTTGCTTGAAAAAAATTCATTTTCAAGCTTCAGTTTGATGCATTTCAAATTAAATATTAATGTTTGGAGTTATCCTCCCTGGCTGAGGATCGGATATCCTTAAAGAAAGAGATAATTCTTTTTTTTCCTTTTTTTTTTTTTACAAAACTTAAAACCTTTTAGGTCGGTATAAATTTTAGCTAAAAATTCATCATACATAAAAGCACCTCAAATTATGTGAAACTACCAAGATTCAATAAATATTTAAATGAAAATAAAAAAGTCATTACAGATTATATGTTTATTAGACAAAAAATAAGACAATATGCCAAAATGGCACAACAAGCGTAGAGACATTTACGTTTTTATTCACCTATAATGTTTTTGGAGGTCTTCGTTTACTCGCCTCTCTATTTGTATTGTTAAAAAATGTTGAGCTTAAATACAATTTATCTCCATATTTGTTCCAAACTTATTAAGAAATAATCCGCGAATTCCTTCAATACAAACATAACAGAATGATTATGTTTAAGTTATATTTATTACAGTTTGTTGTTTTCCTCAGGCCCAAAGGCAGACAGCTAGAATAGTGCAAACATTTTATCGATATACTCAGAAAAATAGGCTACGATCATACTTTATCAAGAATTCCCTTAAGAAACAAAGAGGTTCACTGCCCTTTGGCAACTTTTGAACTACTTTCAAAAGTTTATTTATCGAATCATCAGCACAGATTCTATGGTTACAATCTATTAAAATTCTTGCTTGCTAATCAAATTTTGTATTACAAAAAAAAATCACAAGTCTGCAAATTTGATAAATTTACCCAATCCATTTAAATACTTCCTAGCTACGTGTTTTTTAATATAAACCGATAAAGATTTCTATTTCAGCGATCAACAAAAATGCAAGGTTTGTGAGAATGGCATTGTTGGACAACCCATTCAGTTACGATGTTCCAATGTGATTTGCATTGGCTGTCGAAATAATCACGTTGTTTCTAAACAAGAAGAATGTCCAGCATGTCATGAAAACCATCTAATTGAAGACACAAATAACCCAGACAGGTATCTCAAAGCTGAATGAATTGATGATTTTTTTCCTAAAATTCTTTTTTTACCTTTGTTAATTTTAATTGTTGTTTTCATTACTATAAAAAATAAATATGATAATATTAAATATACACTATAAATTGATTCATTTTGGAATGTTCTTTCAGTCACAGTATTAGAACATTTAAAGAGAGTTAAAAGCAGGCATATATGTTTGTCTTTTTGTTTTTTTTTTATTTTTATAGCGAGAAGTCCAAAAAGTACAAACTTTCAAAAACAACTGCAATGATTTCTTCATGGAAATTGTATCACAATTATGCTTTGCTAACAATGAAGCACCATCCAAAGAAGTGATAAGAAAATTGACTTCCCTTGTTACTGTAGAGACGAAAATGGACCATGGCATGGAGACTGTGAGCAAAGAAATGGCGCTTGTTGAATCAAAAGTTGATTCAACTCCAGTGTTTAGGTCATTCTTATTGCAGCACTTACTAAGAACCAGGTAAGACTATTGATAATGTATGTACACATATAAAAACTTAAACACACAGACAGAGTATCATTCAAAGTAGCCGCAAATGGATACTAATTTCAGCTTTTCTGCCAAAATTAACTGCAAAATTAATCATCTCGAAAAATTTAATAATTTATCTGTCTTACATGTTCTAAATGCAAGTATATGTAAGTATGCTTTTTATGCAGTTTGGATGATGTCATGGAATTTCTTTCTGAATACCTTTCAAGAGCAGAGGCAATGCTTAAAGAGGATCCAGAGAAAGTCATTGAATTCAGTATTCTAGTTATTCAATGCTTAGAGGTATGTTTGATGATGTTATAGGAACAGCCCCTAAATAATTTATTTACTTCAAAAACATGGTCTTTTTAGCTCACCTGAGCCGAAGGCTCAAGTGAGCTTTTCTGATCAAAATTTGTCCGTCGTCTGTCGTTGTCGTTGTTGTTGTTGTTGTCGTAAACTTTTCACATTTTCATCTTCTTCAAGATCCACTGGGCCAATTTCAACCAAACTTGCCACAAAGTATCCTTGGGTGAACGGGATTCAAGATTGTTCAAATGAAGGGCTACGCCCTTTTCCAAGGGGAGATAATTATGAATTAGAGAAAAATTAATGACATTTTTTAAAAATCTTCTTCTCAAGAACCACTGGGTCAGGAAAGATGAAACTCATATGGAATCATCCTCAGGTAGTGTAGATTTAAGTTTGTTCAAATCACGACCCCCCCCCCCCGGGAGGGGGAGGGGGGCCAAAATGGACGATCAAAGTTTTACAGAGGAGTATATAGGGAAAATCTTTAAAAAACTTCTCTTCCGAACCACTGGGCCAGGAAAGATGAAACTCATGTGGAATCATCCTCAGGTAGTGTAGATTCAAATTTGTTCAAATCATGACCCCCAGGGCTAGGATGGGGCCAAAATGGCCGATCAAAGTTCTACATAGTAATATATAGAAAAAAACTTTAAAAATCTTCTTCTCCAGAACCACTGGGCCAGGAAAGATGAAACGCATGTGGAATCATCGTCAGGTAGTGTAGATTCAAGTTTGTGCAAATCATGACCCCTAAGGGTAGGGTGGGGCCAAAATGGCTGAACAAAATTTAACATAGGAATATATAGGGCAACCTTTTAAAATCTTCTTTTCAAGTATGTCAAAGCCATAATTAGTAATATTTATATGGAATCATCCTTAGGTAGTGTAGATTCTAGTTCGTTCAAATTATGATCCCCTTGGGGGTTTAGATTCAACCCCCCCCCCCACCCCACCCCAGTAAACTTTCAGTTCTGATCTGATATGTGCTTTTTTCCTAGCCTGTGTGCTCAGGTGAGCGCTGTGGCCCCTGGGCCTCTTGTTTATGTTAACTTTCCCCTGTTATGTTCTCCGTTTTCCAATATGACTCTTATCTTCCACTGAGGGTTAAATATCTCACATCAGAAAACCAAAATGTTAAAGTCTATATTTTACTATGAAATTCGAAACAGCAATAGTTCACTTATTTCATTCTTGTTTTTGTACTTAAACATTCGAATTAGTTTACTAAGTTATTATTTTTAATTTTAAGCTGCTTGTTACGGAATATTAACAATAATATTAATCGCACGTCCTCCCATCCCTCTACCCTTCCATATACACCCGCAGATACCTTCACACCCTTACACAAGCACCCCTTCACAAACATGCTCTCTCTCTCTCTTTCTCTCTCACCCTAGACACAGAGAGAGAAAACAGAGAGAGAGAGAGAGAGAGAGAGAGAGAGAGAGAGAGAGAGAGTTGTGGTTTTTTGGGCAGAGTCAAATGAACGTATAAACAAGTAGCCATGTTATTTACACTTCTGTAGGGAAAAAGATGCAATCGTTATGCTCATTAAACTTTGTAAAATTAAGATTTAGTATAAAAGTACATAATTTGGAGAGTTCTGATTCATGGAAATATACTTGTTGTTTTAAGCATTATATTAAATTGTAAGAGACTGCATGCATTGATATTATGTAACCTAGATTCAAATATGTTTGTAAAGAACAAGATAGTCATTTAACATGTTTAGGTTAACATTGATAACTTGTTAAATGTTTTTATTAAATGTAAAAGAACCAGGTAGATCAAAATATGAAATTATTTCTATTTTAAATAGGACTCGATTCAGCAAAAAACCTCTAAGGAAAAAGAACCATGGAAAGCAGAAATGCTTAAGGCGACAGAATATCTTAAAGATTCTGCAGATGTGATAAACGAGGAAAATCTCGATGTGAAAAAATTATGCTGTGTGGCAGAAACGAGATTTAGTCTGGCGTGTGCGGCAAAGTTTTTGTTCCAACACAATGTGGAGAACACTGTGAAGTATTCGAAAAATCTGAAGAAGTTGTATGAAGCTGTGTCCAAAATGACAAGCAAGTGTCGATGGGCTAAGTACGTTTCTCTCTTTTTCTCATTATACTTTTGCAATCATACACAGGGTATACATGCATTTCGAAGTCATTATTTCTTACTGTCTTTCAGGCCAGCTATCTGTCAGTTTAGCTGTTCGTCTGACAAAAATTCTTGTGGACACGTTTTTTTTAAGGACAATATAATTTTTAAAAGATTTCATTAGTGAAATAGCTGGAATAAGAAGACTGAAAATATTAATCTGAACATAAATAAAAAACTAATACATTTCAGAGGCTTAAAACGAACTGAAAATGAGCTTGCAGGACCACAGTTTATCCTGACCTTTCGTCAATATTTTTTGACAGGGTCAAGGTAATTGGAACTAAAGTATTATATGACTGTTCAACGAGAACTTTGAAATGAAAGTAGTTTAGTTGAGATTTGAAGTGCAAAATATTCATTTAAGAGACAAACTTTGTTTTTCATTTGGAAAAAGGATCTGATAATTGTAATCATGGTAATTTGGACAATACAAATGTCTATGGTTTTAAGAAGTTTGTTTTTTTCTCTCCTTCGCCTTATCTTTGGATATGAAAAAAAAATCTAAAGAGTATGCTAGTGTGCCTGCGACCAGAGAGAGTGTAATAATCTTTTAACATGACCATTTGGACTGATTCAATGTTACTGGTGTGACAATTTTCTCTACAATAAAATATTTATTTGTAAATAATATCAGTAAAGAAAATTGATGATGAGCATACGTACAAGATATCCACAAAAAATGTCACCATGAGTCATGAATAGACTCTATTTTAACGATTATTTAGTACATGTATTTAATATTAGTGCTTTTGAGTATATTATATTTATATTTTTTATCTTACAGATTGTTCTTAATCAAATACTTCTGTCGATCCTTCAGTGTAAAAAGCTATCGTCAAATCTTATCATCAGGCACGGAATTAAAACAGCATCTACCAGTTGAACTGCTAAGTTTGCCTGAGCTAAAAGCGGAAAACGTAAGTTATACCATTTATACAAAAGATAAATATTAAAAAAGGTACCTGCTTGTTCTCTTCATACATAAAATGACAATGTCTGACCTAAATCACTTTGTCAAGATATATGAGTTACTATTTCCTGTGAAATTACATCAAGGACAAAATGCTAAAAATCTGTATAGTTTATATTATATTGGAACTTTGACCCTAAATCATATTATGCACTAAAAGAAATTTCAACAACATTATTTACTCAGATAATGCAATGCACTTCTCTTTTGTAATGTAATTGAACCCCAGTCCTTCAAAAAAAATCCTCCAAATTTTTGGAATACAAAAATGCTCAAATTTTACACCAAATGAAGAACCTGCTATATGGCATACTGTAAAACGAGAATATTTGGCGCACTATTAATTTTAGCGCCTTTGGCGCAAGAGCCCCTGGACGCTTAAATTTATTGTGCGCTAACAGATTTCTAAATATTATTTTTTGTGTGTGTTCAAAGCTTTTACAGAGGTACATGTAAACGGCCGAAACGCGCGATTATGTTGAAGGGATTTTATAAACACACTAGTACTGCGCATGCTAGGATCGATCGAGACAGTTTTGCCAAATTATAATGTAATTAAACTATGTTACCCCGGTAGTTGTTACCTGATTATTTATCATTAGCACCTTCAAAGTTTGGCTTCTCGGCGTGTCAATCATCATCTATCGCCTCGAGGTAAACAATGCAATCAAACATGGCGATTGAGCTTGCAGTCAATACCTGATTATGATTACCGTTTATCCAAGTAACTTTCTTTCGATGCATGCATTGTTTTAATATGAATAAAATGCGTAAATACTCAATTTTTTTTTTTTTTTTTTTAGAAAAAATAATAATTAAATAAATTTTAACACTGTGTTACATCCATGCTATTGCAACACACGGTAAAGGTGACGAATGTTTAGTTATATACGGTAGTGCTATTGTGTTTCCGTGCTTGACTAACCAAAAAGTCAAATACGGGAGTTGATGTAAAAAAGTCCAAAATAACACAATTGTATATTTTGATTGCTTTTGAATTGCTTTTTAATTGCTATTTTAATTGCAATTAAATTGCTATCCGTTTTCATCCGTCGTCGTGCGTCGTGTGTCATGTCTCGTGTGTCGTGCGTCGTGTGTTAACATTTGAACATTATAAGCTTCTTCACTGAAACCACTGAACCAGTTTCAACCAATTTTGGCATACAGCATCTATGGATAAAGGGGAACAAAAATTTTGAATTCCATGTTCCCTTCCCCCCTGGGGCCTTGGGGGTGGGGCCAAAAACACTAAAATTAGTGCAATCTTTAAAAATCTTCTTCTTTACTCCTGGACATCAAGCAGTCAAGCTGTTGGTACGATTGTAATCAGTATTGAGTCATCTACCAAAATTGTGAAATTCATGGCCCCAGGGTCAGGGTTCTAGTGCTAGGGTGGGGCTCTATTGATTATATAGTAAAATTGCATTGATTCTTTGATAATCTTCTTCTCTGCTCCTTGGTATCAAATAAACAAACTAAGTACATAGTTATGATGAGCAAGAGTGCCTCTTTTCAAATTTGTGAATTTTATGGCCCCAGGGTCAAAGCTTCTGGTGTTAAGGCTGGGCTTTATTGGTTATATTGTGAAAATGCATGTATTATTTAAAAATCTTCTTCTCTGCTTCTGTGGAGTAAATTTGTGGCTTTTTATGTCCCCTGTATCAGGGGTTCTGCCATTTGCTTTAGGGGGAGGGGGCTCTTTTGATTATATAGTGAAAATACATTAATTCTTTGAAAATCTTTTCCTTTGCTCCAGGGTATTAAATTATGCCAATTATTTAAGTTTATATGTATTTATGATGAAAAATGGTGCATCTGGCAATACGGTGAATTTTATTCTCCCTGAGTCAGGGGTAGGGGGGTGTTACTTTGTCTGAAAATAAATTTATGCTTTAAAATCTTCTTTTTGGCATTAATCAACCATTTATGATGAAAAAAATTCATGATAAAATTTCCAAAATTTTGAAATAAATGGGCCCAGGGTTAGTGGTTCCTTTAGGGTGAGGCGCACAACTGGTTATAAAGTGGAAGTGCATTTTCTTTGTTACTCTGATCTACTTATGGGTATTAAGTAACTAGAGTAAGCATGCTTTGTGTATGATTGTTAGATTGTATATTGTTTAACGTCCCTCTCGAAAATCTTTCACTCATATGGAGACGCCACTGCTTACCGGTGAAAAGCTGCAAATTTTTGTCCAATACTCGGAACTCAGGGTAATTAAACAGGGTGGGATCTTTTGGTCTCATCCAAAGGACCAGGCTTCACGTCCTACAGGGGATTCGAACCCGCGATGTAAGGATTGACTCCTTACTTCGCAACTCTAGAGCAGACACTCTAACCACTGCGCCACACGGGCGACCATATCTACGAGGGCTGTTCAATAAATAATGTCCTGAATTGTATGACATACAATACAGATATCATATGACATTGAAATTGGCTTTCTCTCATGAGTCAGGGGTAGGGGGTGTTACTTTGTCTGAAAATAAATTTATGCTTTGAAATCTTCTTTTTGGCATTAATCAACCTTTTATGATGAAAAAAAATTCATGATAAAATTTCCAAAATTTTGAAATAAATGGGCCCAGGGTTAGTGGTTCCTTAGGGTGAGGCGCACAACTGGTTATAAAGTGGAAGTGCATTTTCTCTTTGTTACTCTGATCTACTTATGGGTATCAAGTAACTAGAGTAAGCATGCTTTGTGTATAATTATGATAAGCAATACTGTCTCTTTCAAACTTATGAATTTCATGGCCTCTGGTTTAAAACACGAAATAAATTCAATTGTCAAAAGTTGTTACATGATCATCAGGTGACCTTTAAGGCCTGTGGGCCTCTTGTTATGACAAGTGCATGCTCTAAAATTTATTTGCGCCAATGCATTTTCACTTGCGTTTGCGCTAAAATACGTATGCGCCAAATTTACTCGTTTTACAGTATCATGAATTCAAGAACGTAATGAATTATTTTTGCCGGTAATTAATTAAGATACAGGTATATTTTGTGTGCATAACATCTTATTAGAATATTTGCCATCTTCATTTAATTTAAACTTTATTATACTAGTATAAGAAACAGTATATTCATGTACATTTATCGTTTTTCTGTAGCATGTCGTTATATTTTGCAGGTGCAAGAGTGTCCAGACAGATTCATAGTCTGTGGTAGACAGTACAAAGAACTTCGTGATAAAATAACACAGTCTCTTGTCGATGAACAAATCGAACTTGATCTAGAGGTGAACAGTCGATCTAGACATTTTACACACATGAAATATGGGTATACAAAGCCATCAAATGATTCAATTCTTCATAAAAAAAATTCTCTAGATAAAATATTAGCTCCTTTGAATTTCCGCTATCAGAATTCTTCAATTTGACTACATTTTATAACCAGTATAATTAATTCTGTCTGCATTTCTTGAACTACAATGTGGTTTTAAACCCAATTCAATTGAAAGTATGGTTGTCCGGTAACATTTGTGGAAGAGCGTGTGATTGTGTTAGGTATTCGAAAATATTATGGATTTTTTTCGATTTGCTTGTCAGAAATGGGAGGAAATGCTATTATTCTTATCGGAAAATATACCAGTACGAGATGAAATCATACCCTTTTCTGAGAAACGGCAAAAGAGATCCTCCCTGAAATTGTGATTTTCAAATTGCTTCGTAATGCAAAATTTGACTATTGAAGAGTAGAAAACAAAAGATTATAATACAAAGCATTAAATCGACCGAAACGTTTTGTGCATATCTTAATATTGATTGAGTTTGTTTAATTGATATTGTTTAACGTCCCTCTCGAGAATTTTTCACTCATATGGAAACGCCAACATTTTCCTGTGGAGAGCTGCAAATATTTGTCATATATTCGGCACTCAAAGACATTGAGCAGGGAGGGATCTTTTTCGTACCAGCACCTACTGCCACCTAGGACCTCGGTTTATACGGTCTCTTCCGAAGGACCAGTCTCTACGTCCTACGGTGGGATTCGATTCCGCGACGTAAGGATTGACTCCTTTCTTCGCGACTCTAGAACAGACACTCTAACCACTGCGCCACTGGTTGATTGATGTGACATATTTCCAAAGGGGTATCTGTTTTTCATTCACAGCTGTTGCAAATTACACAAAAATTGTAGTGCCAAATTTCTGATTTTAAAAAAAATTATATTATGAAATTCTTCTAAATGTTGTGATTTTATCGAGTTTTTTTTTTCAATTATTTTTTACATGTTATACTTCCATGCAATGTGCCACTTATTGCACTTACTGGTCTTAAAATTAAAAATGTGATATTTGAATAAAATAAATTCAAGAACAAACATAATTGTAAATGATTTAAAACTATATTTCAGTTTTTAATTAATTGCTTAAATGATCATCTAGCGAAAACATCCTTGCAGAGGACCCTATATTGTAAATCTTATTTTGTATTACATGTGCATTGATATATATCTGCCGAATAAATATTCATACATTTTTAATTTTATTTGATGAATTTAAATTAAAAAAGAATGTGCTTAGCAATTATTAGTTTATTCCTGCGTATTTCAAATTAGACCGATCTTATATACTTTTTAACTCCTATGTTTCCTTGGTTAACCATTATAGAGATTTATATTTAGTGTAATTTACATCGTGAAATTATTTAGTTTACTTATGTTATGATCAAAAGCCTCAAAATCCTTCCATAAAAAATTCTTAAAGTATTATTCCGAACTTTTTTTATATTGCAGGGACTAACAATTCCAGATACACATAAAAAAGTGTTCTTTCTTCTTGCTCTTTTCCGAGAAGTCACTATGATGCATGTTTACGACGTCAAAAAACGGAGATTTAAAGCAGAAGTAGGTTATAAATTTTGGAATAAATAGAAATTCATTTTTGTTGTAAAATATCCAAACCATGGCAAAATATATTATTATTTTTAGGCTATTCAGAAACTCCTGGATGCATTGGAAGACGCAAGCTGTCTTCAAAACGAGGTTTGTCAATTTTATTTAATCTTAACATATACACTGCACAAAAATGCTTGTTAGATCATTTGTTGACAAAGATGATTCTTCAAGATAAAACCATTGACATGTTATATTATATATAAAAAATGGGTGTCGGCTATGGTACATTTAATTTTAATCATTCAAAGAATATTGCTCTGTGATGAAAACAAACACATGCTAAAAATCTGGTTTGTGTAGCTATGCTAGGATTGTATTGCCAAAGCGAAGGTAGAATTGTTCTACCTGATACCCTATCTGACAATGACGTCATTTCCGATATGTAACGCCATTGGTTTCCAGATTTGAATACTGAGCTAGATGTCTATGCAACAGAAAGATAAAAAATTGGGAACTAATTAGAATACAAATAAAAAAAATTTGCAGATTCTATTTAATTAATTATTATTTATATGAGGTATAATAATTATATTTTTACAACGTACAGTGTGGATGAAATAGATTTAGAAGCTTGAATTCTCTAAATTCTACATGTATGATTTCCCCGTCAAACAATTACATACTGTAAAACTGTACGATTTATATTTTCAGTCGATAAAGTTAAATGATTATTGTAAACTTGAAATGGGATTATAATCTCACATTATACACCGTCATTTACTTGTGATTTTTTTTATCAGTTAGATAATCACATTAAATTATTATTTGCTCCAGCTATCAAATTGTCCTTAACAAATTGAAAAGGTAGGAAAATGGTTTAATTAATTATCGAAGTGTCGAAAAATTTTCACAGCCGTGGTTTACCCTTGCATTTGAGCAATTTTAATATAACAGATGATAATCAGTACATATGAACATGGTACAAGACCATATATGTTAACAAAGCCCAGTGTATTTGTGGAGAATGTATTGCAGACATTACAAACACAGAAATAATTCTTACGGCAGTAAATCACTTCTAATATCTGAACTGCCTACAAAGAAAATTAACCGTTTGGCTCTTTTTTTTTAAAAAAAAAATCTTAACGCCTAGTAGTAAACAAGCTCTTTTTTTCAATTTTGTAACAGGGATTCCAGCTCATCAACATTCTTTAGTTGCATTTATTTAATTATAATATTATTTGAATGTCGTTTGCTTATTCGATCGCGTGTCTTTCGGCTGATAGTCAAATAGTGGACTACAAGCTGGCACCCCTAGATTTATTATATGAGCTGTCCCATGCAAAAAGGGCCCTTAAGGTTAAAATTATCAAAATTGACTTTTCAACATTAATTTGAAAAAAAAAATGATTAAAAAAACCCTAATGAAGATTTTTTTTATTGATGAAACACAGATAATGATTTTGCAGCGGTTAAAATGCTTTTGTTTTTTCCTCATAACGTTATAAGCTTTAAAAAATGTGACGTCATGTTTGGCATGCATATTTAAACAGGGAAAAAGAAATTTTTAAAAAATGAAGAAAAGCTATGTGTTAAATATTTTTGACATCACTGGGTGAAAAAAGTGGTTTCCCATCATGGGAAACTTTATGGAAACCACATGGAAACCTCAAGTTTACATCATGTTTCCCAGTGGTTTCCGTAGCGGATGCTAGGTTATTCCGCCAAGTTTCCGTGACACGGAAACCCCCTACGCTCCGATTCCATAAGGTATCCCGTACCACGGAAACCTCTGTAAACCTGAAGTTTCCCGAACATCCATGTAGTTTCCCGTTATGGGAAACCTGAAGATTCCACTGGTTTCCAGAATCAGGAAACTTGATGGAATCGGAGCGTAGGGGGTTTCCATGGAATGGAAACTTGGTGGAATCTTTAGGTTTCCTTTTACGGGAAACTACATGGAAGCTCGGGAAACCTCACGATTCCTGAAGTTTCCTTGACTCAGGAAACCATATGGAATCGGAGCGTAGTGGTTTCCATGGAATGGAAACTTGATGGAATCTTTAGGTTTCCTTATACGGGAAACTACATGGAAGCTCGGGAAACCTCATGATTCCTAAAGTTTCCTTGACTCGGGAAACCATATGGAATATGAGCGTAGTGGTTTCCGTGGAATGGAAACTTGATGGAATCTTAAGGTTTTCTTTTATGGGAAACTACATGGAAGCTCGTGAAACCTTATGATTCCTGAAGTTTCCTTGACTCAGGAAACTATGTGGAACTTGTGTAGCACTTTCTGTGTGGCGGAAACTTGGTGGAATTATCGAAGAGTCCCATATCTGGTGGAAATTACTGGGAAACTTCAAGATTCCCTAACTTTTCTAAAGGTAGCAATGTGAAATAATGGGTATTCTTTTAAAATCTATCAAAAAAATTTATTACATGTAAAAGAAAAAAGCATTACCATTTTATATGTTTAATAATTCATTTGATGTACAAAAACTGTAACTGAATTTTTCAATGATATCAAAATATTAAATAAATTCATATGTCTTAGATAAACAATGGAACAGTCTTTCACATTTAAGTCCATTCATAAGGGTCATTAAGTACTTCTTTCAAGATCAGTTTCCTGGTTTTCTTCACATCACCTATGATCTGCAATATTCATACAAAATTATTATATGATGTCAGAATTATAATGCTTGAATATAACTTAGAAATCTAAGAGATCAGTAAATGTCCTTTAATATACCAATATCAATAATTACTTTCCATGACCATGATACATATGATTTCAGCATTTAATGTATCTCTTTAATATTTAATGCTTTATGATAAGTGAAAAAAAATAACATAAAATAAATAATGTTTTCAGCCTTATTATGTCATTGAGAATATATTACTACAAAAGCTAGATTACACCAGCAGAGAAATATACTCTGGACTACGATTTTAAATAAAGATATACAGTAGATTTTGATACTAACCTTTGACCTAGAAAATTAGTCCAAGGTCACTCTTCATCCTCTATCCACAGGCTCTCTGTAGTTTAAGTTTGAGAGAGACATATGCACAGAACAGGTGATTTCAGATGGAGTGATGGGTAGACACTGAATTAGGGCATCCACAGAACAGGACCTTAAAATAATGCAATATATATGTATTACAGTATATATACACATGTACTTGTATGTTAATGATTTATCATATGCTGCATTGGACACATATGATTTTATCATGGTTTAAGTATACATGTATCTTATGAGTAATTTTATACTGGTATTGCATGTATGCTCAGTTTATTTAAGAAATAAATAACAAGTTTATAAACTTCAATGGGAGAGATACTGTACCACAAATGTATATATAAACAAATATTTCCATTTCTAATTTTTTTCTCTGTGATAACTCTTTGAAAGTTTTTGGAGTTTATTTCTTGATAATTCTGCCGGAATGTAAATTAGGCAGGTCGATAGGTCAGGAGCTAATGAGGCCTAATACGCATGCAAATCTCGTGCGCATCTGTCTCTGTGTCTGACGCTAAGGATGCCAAATATGCATGTAAATCTCGTGCGGCTGCCTATGTGTTTGACGTCAGTGGGCGAGGACTATTGAAATTGGCATGGAAGTCCTTGTGAATATAGTCTATGTCTACATTTTAAAAGTCTAAATCTACAATTTTATTTTATAATGAAATGGAAATATAAGGAATCACTGTCTAGTTTTGAGAGTATGCCAGGGACATCAACAATAGTGGGAACATGGGATAATTTTAGCATAACGGGCTTCGCCCGTTATGCAAATTATCCCATGTTTCCCACTATTGTTGATACCCTGGCATACTCTCAAAACTAGACAGTGATTCCTTAAGTAATTTAATTTTTTTTTTCTTTCATATATTGACCAACATTATTTACATCCATTCATCATGTTCATGAATTGGCTGATCAAAATTCAGTCAGTTTTAGATCTATATGATATACCATAAAGGACTTTCACATTTACAAAAGTTATTCCCTTTCGCAGGGTCGATCTGGGGTCAACCGGCTTAAGACGCTGTTTTTCCCTCTTTAACAGTATCAACTTTGAGGGACAATATCTTAGAAATAAAATCTGTATGAACATATTCATTATGATTTTCATGTTGCCCCCATACTCTGGCAATACAGATACAGATTGTAATTGTCCAATATTTTTGAAGATTGAAAATATTAACAAGTAACTTACAAAGGACAAAGTGGGAAAAATGAGCGATACGCCGACAATTGGAGAAAACTCTTAGGATGTGAAATTTGTCTCTTGGTGATGAAAATTCTTGTTTTAATGTCACTGAAAAATTAAGAGACATTAAAAATTTAAGCGCTATTGTCATACACGCATCCTGTTTTTTCATCCATATAACCTTTTCATATCATAAAATTTACCAAAATTTAATACTTCAAATAATTTCATTGAATATCTATAAAATAAAGGAAACTCTAAAAACTTAGTGACTTGCAGAAATTAATCCTTGAAGAGAAAAAAATCTATCATATTTCATCTAAATATGTGCATAATGAGCCTTTTTTATTCATTTAGAACATATGGTATGTGCCTCATTTCCCCAAGAAATTTTCAAAGACAATGGACTATCTGTAAGCAGAAATCATTGCTGTTTACTTACATTGGAAAAATTATGAAAGTAATTAATTTCCTATTTTTTTATTTTAAATAATGCTAAAAATAATTTAATCTATGAAAGATAATCTAACTGACTGTAAAATAACATTTTTCATAATCTTAATCTATGGGCAGATCACTCTAACTTCATAAAACTACCTGATATTAAAGTAGAACTCTTTAGTGTGCAGTTTCTAGAGCTTCCTTTAAGTAATCAAAATACTGACCAGCAAGAAATCAGTTAATAAGCATTTCCTTTTTTTCATTCAAATTTTTGGAGAGATCTCAGAGTTTTTTCCTGTTCAATTCAGGTCCAAGACGACAAAGTTTTATTGAAGTGTATGTATTAGAGAACTGATTGTATGTCAATCATAGCAATGCACACATAACATGGAGGGGGCAAATTGTTTCAGCCCTAGCTTTTACATAAAACTTCTTGTAGCTCACAGCTGATATACCACAGTTCAATATTTAAATAAAATTTA